TGGTATGAACTCTCGAAATAATCAATAACAATCGTTCAAAAAAAGTTAAGTAAAATTTTCCACCAACTATCAAATATTTATTAATCTGTATCATAAACAAGATAAAGTATATCTTTTTTTCTTGTCTGAGCCCCTCTTTTTTCCTGTTAGAGTTGTGTTCAAAGCAAGCCTCTGCCATACAGTTTTTTTTTTAAGATTTATTTATTTATTTGAAGGTCAGAGTTACAAAGAGAATGAGAGGCAGAGAGAGAGAGAGGTCTTCCATCTGCTGGTTCACTCCCCAACTGGCCATAACAGCCGGAGCTGTGCTATCCGAAGCCAGGAGCCTCTTCCAGGTCTTCCTGGGTGCAGGACTTGGGCCATCTTCTACTGTTTTCCCAGGCCATAGCAGAGAACTGGATCGGAAGTGGAGCAGCCGGGACTTGAACCAGTGTCCAGATGGGATAGCGGCACTGCAGGCAGCAGCTCTACCTTCTACACCACAGCACTGGCCCCGCCATACAGTTTTTAGATACAGTTAAAATGGATAAAAGTGGCTTCTGCTCCCATGGTTTTGTTACATAAAATTGGGAGAATGGGAAAAATAGCATGGGGGCTGTTCTTGGGGGGTTCCCTCCAGATACACAAATTCCTCTTAAGCCTAGTTTTTTTTAAAAAAATTTACTTTATTTATTTGAGAGAGTTAGAGAGAGAGAGAGATATCTTCCACCCACTAGTTCACTCCCCAAATGGCTGCAACAGCCAGAGCTGGACTGATCCAAAGCCAGAAGCCAGGAGCTTCTTCCAGGTCTCCCACATAAGTGCAGGGACCCAGTCACTTGGGCCTTCTTCAGCTGCTTTACCAAGTGAAAATCCAGCACAGAGCTGGATTGGAAGTGGAGCAGCCTGAACAGGTGGTGGCTTTACCTGCTACACCATAGCCCCGGCCCCAGTAAATCTTTTTTATTTTATTTTATTTTATTTTATTTTATTTTATTTTATTTTATTTTATTTATTTTTGGACAGTGAGAGAGAGAGACAGAAAGGTCTTCCTTTGCCGTTGGTTCACCCTCCAATGGCCGCCGTGGCCAGCGCACCGCGCTGATCCAATGGCAGGAGCCAGGTACTTATCTTGGTCTCCCATGGGGTGCAGGGCTCAAGGACTTGGGCCATCCTCCACTGCACTCCCGGGCCACAGCAGAGAGCCGGCCTGGAAGAGGGGCAACCGGGACAGAATCTGGCGCCCTGACCGGGACTAGAACCCGGTGTGCTGGCGCCGCAAGGCGGAGGATTAGCCTAGTGAGCCACGGCGCCGGCCCACAGTAAATCTTAAAAAAAAAAAAAAAAAAAAAGTATTTCTTGCCATAGCTGGGGATTTAGAATTTCTTTTCATTTTTTTTTTTTTGACTTATTTTCTCAGACTCTAGTGCAGGTATCCAAGAACTTAAGTAACTTTGTTATTTTTAAGTAAAACACAAAATTAGAAAACCATGTAATACTTGGAAAACTTAATTAATTTTATAAAGCAAATGTTCCTGTAACCACCATCCCTGTCAGGAGCCAGAATTTGCCGCCTCAGACATCTTCCACCTTGTTTGCATACACAGTCCTCTCTTGACCAGTGCCCCGGAGTAATGGTTCTTCTGAATTTTTATAACATCTGCTTCCTTAATTTTCTCTATGGTTTTATCATCCAAGTAATGAAACGTTAGTTTTTCTTTTCTAAACTGTGTCTTTTTAAGTTTCTCTTACTTCTTAGTTTTCCCTCATCTCTTTTTCTCCCCTTTGTTTGAAGAAATCACGAGATCATTTCTTCTGCAGAGATTCATACAGCTGCATTTTGCTGGCTACTTTTCCATGGCATGAAGAAGCAGGTTCTTCTGTCCTCTGTATTTTCTATAAATTGGTAGTTGGATCTAGATAATTAGATTCAGCTTTGTTATTTTTGATAAAACTACTTCAAAAGTGGTGATGCTTCTTTGAAAGGTATATAACGTGATTTCCAGGGCCGGCGCTGTGGCATAGCCGGTAAAGCCACCACCTGCAGTGCCAGCATCCCATTTGGGCACTGGTTCTAGTCCTAGCTGCTCCTCTTCCAATCCAGCTCTCTACTATGGCCTGGGAAAGCGGTAGGAGATGGTCTAAGACCATGGGCCCCTGCACCCACATGGGAGTCCCGGAAGAGGCTCCTAGCTCCTGGCTTCCGAGCAGTGCAGCTCCAGCCGATGTGGCCATTTGAGGAGTGAACCAGCGGATGGAAGACCTCTGTCTCTCTGCCTCTGCCTCTGCCTCTCTGTATGTAACTCTGCCTTTCAAATAAATAAATAAATCTTTTTAAAAAACAAAGTGGATTTCTTGTTTCTGTGATATTAATAATCTTGCTTTATGCTTAGATCCTTTATTTTCTTCTGCTTGCTTTGGGTATAGGATTCTGGGTTCAGAGTTCTTTTCTTTCAGCTCTTAAAAAATATTGTACCACTTTCTTCTGGTGTCTGTAGTTTGTGATAACAAATCCTTTATCAATAGAGTTGATTTTCCCCTTTAAGTAAGCCATTTCTCTCCCAGATTTCAAAGTTTTTGTGTTTAGTTTTCAGAAGTTTGATGATGTCTTGCCATGGATTTCCTTAAATTTATCTTGCTTGGTGGTTGCTCTGCTTCTAGAATGTATCTCTTTCGCCAGATTTGGGAGTTTCTAGCCATTGTTTTTCAGAGTACTTTGTTGGACACACTTTGTCCTTTCCTTCCAGGACTCTGTTTACAAATATTGGATCTTTTGTTATAGTCTCACAGGTCCCTGAAACTGTTCTCTCTTTGGTCTCTTCTCTGTTATATTCAGACAGGGTAATCTCTTTTATTCTATGTTTTGGTCCTGGATTCTTTCCTCTGTTCTTTCTATTCTGCTGTTCAGCCCATCTGTTTTTTTTTTTAATTCTGAATATTTTTTATTCTAAAATTTCCATTTTCCTTTCTTTATATCTTCTGTTTCTTTGCTGAGACCTTTTGTCTCAAGTGTATTTGAAATTTCCAATCAGTTTTACAATGGCTCCTGTAATAATAATTCTAACCATCTCTGTTATCTCTGTGTATCTGTCAACTATTTTTTTTTAATTCAGTTTAAGATATTTCTGGTTCTTGTATGACAAGTTACTTTTTATTGAAATATTGGAAGTTTTTTTTTTTTTTTTTTGGTAGATAATGTTATGGAATTCTGAATCTTGTTTAAACTTTGTCTTTGAGCCTTTCTTTGATAGGAGATATTTAGCCAGGGGTGATGAAGGGCATCAGCGTAGCAGGGACCAGCGGAGGCATTTTGTTACTACCAATGAAAAAAGAAGCCTGGGCTTTTTATTCCCATCTCTGCTGATACCTGAGGCATAGGAATCTTGTTGTGAAGGTAGGAGTTTTGATTGTTCAGATGGTCTCCACTGACAGTGTTGAGGAATGGCCTTGTTCCTACTGAGCAGTCAGGAAAGACCAGACTCTTAAGTAGGCCTCCACTAACACCAACCAAAGAAGAGAGAGAGTAGCCTTCCCCTGCCAGGTTGGAGTAGAAGTCCAGAGTTGCTGCAGGCTCTCCCCTAACCCCATGAGGTGGGGGGTCATTGCCAGCCAGCACAGATGGAAGTCCCACCTCCCTACATGGCCCTTTCTAGTACCTCTTATAGTGGGCCAGCTACTATAGTCTGACTTATCCCTCAAAATTCATGTGATGGCAGCTTAATCCCCAATGCAGCAATGTTGGCAGGTGAAATCTTTTGCAGGGATGTTAGGTCATGAGAGCTTTGCCTTCATGAATGGATTAACGCTAGTGTAAAAGGTGCTTGTGGGAATTGGTTCTCTCTTTTGCTCTTCTGTATGTGAGGATGCAACCCATACAGGATACCAGCACCCTGATCTTGGACTTCTCAGCCTTTAAAACTGTGAGAGAATAAATTTTTGTTCTTTATAAGTTAACCAATCTCACGTATTCTAACACCACAAAGCAGACTTAGACACTATGACTCCACACCTACAAGAATAGTTACACTGTTGGTAGGAATAGACCACGGTACTGTTGCTTTGTAAGAAGTTTGCAGTGCTCCATAAAGTTTAACATACATTCACCCAAGGATCCAGCTATTTTCCCAAGAAAAATGAAAGCATATATCCACTCTATGAAAGTGTAAGTTTGCACAAGTGTTTGTATACAATTTTACTAATAATGGCCTAAAACTGAGCAGAACTCAAATGTTGATTTGCAGGTGAAAAAGTGGTGGTATAGCCATACAACAGAATACCACTCAGCAATAAAAGGAGTAAATCATGGACATACATGACAAGAATGAATCTCAAAACTTATACCGAGTGAAATAAGTACCAGACATAATACATGTTACAGAATTCCATTCATACACAATTCTTAAAAAGGTAAATTATGGTAACAGAAAGATAAGATGTTTGCTGTGAGAGAACTGGGAAGGAGTGCAAAGGAACTTTTTGGGATTATGGAAGTGTTTTCTGACTATGCAGGTGGTTACATGAATGTACACTTTTATTAATTTTTTAAAAAATATTTGTCTGTTTGAAATGTAGAGTGATGGAGAAGAGGTAGAAAAAGATTGAGATCTTCTGTCTGCTGGTTCTTTCCCCAGTTGGCCACAATAGCAAGGGCTGAGCCAAGCCAAAACAAGGAGCAAGGGACTTCATCAGGGTTTCAGTGGCCAGGCTGTGCAAAGCTGAAGCCAGGAGCTTTTACCAGGTGCATTAGCAGGGAGCTAGATCAGAAGTGGAGCAGCCAGGACTCAACCCAGTGCCCACATGGGATGCCAGCATCGTATTTAGAGATTTACCCGCTATGCCACAATGCCAGCCCCCTTTTTGATACCTATTTAAGAAATTTTTGCCTATGGTCCCATGCTGTGGCGTAGTAGGTTAAGCCTCTGCCTGCAGCACCAGCATCCCATATGGGCACTGGTTTCTATCTCCACTGCTCCTCTTCTGATAGAGCTCTCTGCTAAGGGCTTGGGAAGGCAGTGGAAATGGCCCAAGTGCTTGGGCCTTTGCACCCACATGGGAAACCAGGAAGAAGTTCCTGGTTCCTGGCTTCAGATCAGCCAGCTCCAGCCATTGGGACAATTTGGGAATGAACCAGCAAATGGAAGACTTCTCCGTCTCTCTCTCTCTCTAATTCTTCCTCTCAAATAAATAAATAAATCTTTAATAAAAAAATTGTTTTTGCCTAACACAACAAGGCCATGAAGATTATATCCAGTATTTCTATTAGATATTTTATAGTTTTAGATTTTATGCTTATGGCTGTGATCTACTTTGAGTTAATTGTATTAAATACTTATTATTTTATTTGAAAGGCAAGAGACAAAGAGTTTCCATTCTATGATTCACTCTCCAAATAATCACAATAGTTAGGCCAAAGCCAGGAGCCAAGAACTTCATCTGGGTCTCCTGTATGGGTGGCAGAGTCCCAAATACTTGGGCCATCTCCTTCTGTCTCCCTAGGTACATTAGCAGGAAGCTGGATTGGAAGCAGAGCAGCTGTGACTAGAACCAGCACTCCAACATAGGATGCCAGCATTGCAAAAGACAGCTTAACCTGTGCCACAACACTTATACCTGAGTTAATTTTTGTGTTTAGTCTGAGATAAAGGTTAATGTTTGGGGCTAGTGCTGTGGCATAGCAGGTAAAGCCACTGCCTACAGTGCCAGCATCCCATATGGGCACTGGTTCTAATCTTGGCTTCTCCACTTCCGATCCAGCTCTCTACTATGGCCTGGGAAAGTAGTGGAAGATGGCCCAAGTCCTTGGGCCGCTGCACCCACGTGGAAAACCTGGAAGACGCTCCAGTCTCCTGGCTTCATATTGGCCCAGCTCTGGGCTGCTGTGACCATTTATGGAGTCAACCAGTGGATGGAAAATCTTAAAAAAAAAAAGTTGATGTTTACCATTTCCCATATACTCAGTTTTTCCAGCACTTCATTTACTGTGAAGACTATCTTTTTCAAGTACCATAGCCTCATTGGAGAAAACAATTTTCCAGTAATTTCCAGTCCAAACAATGTTCCAGTAATTTCTGTGTCAACTCTTAGAACAACAGCAAATTGTCTTAATTTCTGTAGCTTTATAATAAGTTTACAAGTCTGAGAGTGTACATCTTTTTTTTTTCTTCAAATGACTTTTGAATATTTTGTTTTTTATAGAAAGCTTTTATTTAATAAATATAATCCAAAATTTGTACTTATGAAATTTATAGCGGTTCTTCCCTCCATACCTGCCCCAAACCATCCCACTGCCCACTCCCTCTCCCATCCCATTCTTCATTAAGATTCATTTTTAATTATTTTTATATACAGAAGATCAACTCTATACTAAGTAAAGATTTCAACAGTTTGCACCCACACAGACACACAAAGTGTAAAGTACTGTTTGAAGACTAGTTTTACCATTAATTCTCATAGTAAAACACATTAAGGACAGAGGTCCTACATGGGGAACAAGTGCACAGTGACTCCTGTTGTTGATTTAACAATTGACAAGAGAGTGTAACATCTTTAAACTTTGTGCTTTTACAAAGTTGCTTTGCCTATTCTGGGTCCTTTGCTTTTCCATAGAAATGTTAGAATAAGCTCATCGATATTTACTGTTAAGGAAAAAACCTGCTGGTGTTTGAACTGAGATTTCATTGGATGTGCACATAAATTGGAGCATAACTGGCATTGTATTGGTGTTGGTTCCTGTGATTCCTGAACATAGCATCTTTATTTTGGGGGCTGGAACATATTCTGTTATTCTTGGGCATGTTATGTTTTTATGCTGTATTACAAATGGTATTATTTTTAACCTTGTATCTTGCTAAACTCACTTATTTCTGATACTTACAGAGTTTCTAAGTGTACAGTCATGTCATCTGTAAATATAGGCCATTTTACTCCTTCCTTTCCATTTATATGTGCCTTTCTGGGGAGTGGGGAGGCCTATGGTAGTGGCTTAGCATTCTCTGAACAATATTAAATAGAAGTGGTCAGAACAGACTTCCTTGCTTGCTTAGTCTTTTTTTTTTTTAAGATTTATTTTAGGCCGGCGCCGCGGCTCAATAGGCTAATCCTCCGCCTTGCGGTGCTGGCATACCGGGTTCTAGTCCTGGTCGGGGCGCTGGATTCTGTCCCGGTTGCCCCTCTTCCAGGCCAGCTCTCTGCTGTCGCCAGGGAGTGCAGTGGAGGATGGCCTAGGTGCTTGGGCACTGCACCCCGTGGGAGACCAGGATAAGTACCCGGCTCCAGCCTTCAGATCAGCGCGGTATGCCAGCCGCAGCGCGGCGGCCATTGGAGGGTGAACCAACAGCAAAGGAAGACCTTCCTCTCTGTCTGTCTCTCTCACTGTCCACTCTGCCTGTCCAAAAAAAAAAAGATTTATTTTCTTTCTTTGAAAGACAGAGTTAGAGAGAGAGGTCAAGCCAGAGAGAGAGAGAGAGAGAGAGAGAAAGGTCTTCATCCGATGGTTTACTCCCCAAATGATGGCAATGGCCAGAGCTGAGCTGATCCAAAGCCAGGAGCCAGGAGCTTCTTCTGGGTCCCCCTTGTGGGTGCAGAGGCCCAAGCACTTGGGCCATCTTCTACTGCTTTCCCAGGCCTTAGCAGAGAGCTGGATCAGAAGAGGAGAAGCCGGCACTCAAACCAGCACCCACATGGGATACCGGCGCTGCAGACTGGGGCTTTAACCCACTGCACCACAGTACCAGCCCCCTGTTTAGTCATTTTACAATGAAAATAATTTTTTTCGTTTGGGGTTTTCATAGATGTCCTTTATTATATTGGGCAAGGTACCTTCTATTCCTGGTTTGTTTTAAAATTTGTTTTATTTTTTAATTAATCATGAATGCATATTATGTCATTTTTTTCTGTCAATAACCATTTAAGGTGTGTTTTTTGTTTGTTTTTTAGCCTGTTAATGTGTGAAAGTACATTGTTTCAGGCCGGCGCCCGGCTCAATAGGCTAATCCTCAGCCTGCGGTGCCGGCACACCGGGTTCTAGTCCCAGTTGGGACGCCAGAATCTGTCCCGGTTGCCCCTCTTCCAGGCCAGCTCTCTGCTGTGGCCAGGGAGTGCAGTGGAGGATGGCCCAAGTCCTTGAGCCCTGCACCCGCATGGGAGACCAGGAGAAGCACCTGGCTCCTGCCATTGGATCAGCGCAGTGCGCTGGCCACGGCGGCCATTGGAGGGTGAACCAACGGCAAAGGAAGACCTTTCTCTCTGTCTCTCTCTCTCACTGTCCACTCTGCCTGTCAAAATAAATAAATAAATAAATAAATAAATAAATAAATAAAAATAAAGTACATTGTTTCAGGAATTAAAGCAATTCTGTATCCCTGTGGTAGATCCTATTTGAGCATGATGTATACCATTGAATTTGACTTTCTAACAGTTATGTATTTTTGCATCTGGGTTCTTCTATTTACTTGTCTTTGATATCAGAGCAATACTAGCCTCATATAGTGATTTGGAATGTTTCCTGTATAGTTGGAAGGAATTTGTATTTGAGAAAAGTTAGTAAGAAAGCCATTTGAGTCTGGAATTATTTACAGGAAAGTTTTTTTTATTACAAATTATATGTCATTGAGAGAAAACCTGCATTTTATAACCTCACCTATTTCTTTTAGGCAGTTTTTATCAATTTTGTCTTCAAGAAATATAAGCTTAAATTAATTGGCATAAAATTGCTCACAGTATGAGGGTACTTTAAAAACTTCATTCATGGAAAATGGAGTTAAAAGATAAGTTTATTTTGTTGGAAAAAAAAGTCCATACTCTACACATACAAGGGAAGACTTGAAATTTTTGCACCAAAATAGTTATCTTTTCATTCCATTTTTTCTTGAGGGTTTTCAGGTACTCCTTATATTCATCTTGTCTGTAGAAACTGTGACGTTTCCTATTTCTTCTTGTGTTGATACTTTGTGTCTTCTATTTGAGTCTTATTTTTTGTCTTGATCCATTCTTCTAAAATTTCATCAGTCTTAATAATATTTTTAGGAACATTTTGATCCACCAGTTTTTTTCTTTTGTTTGTATATTTCCTTGATCTTTGCTCATTTATATCTTCATGGTTTGCTTCTTTCTTGTAACTTAGGCTAAATTTACTTTCATTAGTGTGTTAAGCTTAATTGATTTTGGACTATTCTTTTTTTTTTTTTTCTGACAGGCAGAGTGGACAGTGAGAGAGAGAGACAGAGAGAAAGGTCTTCCTTTGCCGTTGGTTCACCCTCCCATGGCCGCCGCGGCCGGCGCACCGCGCTGATCCGATGGCAGGAGCCAGGAGCCAGGAGCCAGGTGCTTTTCCTGGTCTCCCATGGGGTGCAGGGCCCAAGCACTTGGGCCATCCTCCACTGCACTCCCGGGCCACAGCAGAGAGCTGGCCTGGAAGAGGGGCAACCGGGACAGAATCCGGCGCCCTGACCGGGACTAGAACCCGGTGTGCCGGCGCCGCTAGGCGGAGGATTAGCCTAGTGAGCCGTGGCGCCGGCCTGGACTATTCTTTTTTAATAAAAGCTTTAAATTTAAAGTTGCCTTTCATGAATCCTGCAAATTTTGATGTTGTTTTTCTTCTCATCCAGTTCAGAATATTTTCTGATGTCTCTTAGGATTTCTTTATTGACCCATGTGTCACCTCAAAGAGCATTTTTCAATTTTCAAATATTTGGGAGTTTGCAGATGTCTTTCATTTATTGATTTCTATAAATGACTACTTGTATTGTGATCAGAAAACATACTTTACATGAATCTTTCTTATAAATTTCAATCTTGTTTTATCAGCCAACATATATGGTCTAGAGTAGAGAATGTTCTATATACATTTGAAAAGCATGTATATTGTTGGTAGAATGTTCTGTAAATGTCAGGTAGGCCAATGCAATTGATTGTTTCCATTTCTAGGTACTTTCTGATTTTCTACCTATTTGTTCATCAGGTACTAAAAGAGTGTTGAAATATTCAGCTATTATTATAGATTTTCCTTCACTTTTTAGGTGATGTCCATTTGCTTCATGTGTTCTGTTTTGGGATATGTACAGATTCAGGATTGTTATGTCCTGCTGCTGAAATGACTCCTTTTACTTTATGAACTCTATCCCTGATGGTGAAATTTTTTCTATTAATTATAATAGGCATTCTGCCTTTTCTATTATTAGTGTTTGCATGGCACATCTGATATCATTTTACTTTTTAAAAAAGTGTTCACTTATTTATTTTGAGAGAGAGAATGAACAAACTTCTGTCCACTAGTTTCATTCCCCAAATGCCCACAACAACTGGTTCTGTGTCAAGCTGAAACCAGAAGCCAGGGAATCAATCCTAGTCTCCCAAGTGGGTAGCAGGAACCCAATTACCTGGAGCCATCACCTGCTGCCTCCCACACTGTGCATCAGCAGGGAGCTATAGTTGGGAGCTGAGCCAAGTTTCAAATCCAGGCACTCCAACGTGGGATGCAGGCATCCCCAGCTGGCGGCCTAACCACTAGCTCTGATACCCACCCTATCCATCTTTTTACTTTTATCCTATATCTTTATATCTAAAATGTGTTTATTTTATATAGCGGGTGCTGGCTCCTGCTTTTTCATTCAGACTGACAATCTTTACCTTTTAGCATTGCCATTCATAGTTAGTGCAGTTTATATGGTTGGTTTTAAAAATGTCTCATTATTTGCTTAAAAAAAAAAAGATTTATTTACTTGAGAGGCAGAGAGAGGTCTTCCATCTGCTTGTTTACTCCCCAAATGGCTGGGCTAGGGGTCACGAGTGCCTGCTGTCATGCAGCTCAGCAGTGCTTAAGGGCGACCTGTCGGAGCACGGGGAGGAAGGAACACACGGACACATGACTGTCTTTCCAATGATGGGCTTTTCATTGCTCACACAGTTTCATTCTAGGGCTTCGCCACTCTGCACACCAGTCTATATAGTTATATTCATTACTCCACAGATCATAACAAATCTAACATTAAAGCTGTCTCAAAGGCCATCCAACTATAATAATATAAGTACAGCAAAGCATATGACATTATTCTTAATCATTGGGTCGAGGCACATTCCTTCATATTACACATGGCTAACATCATTATAAATGCTGCGTTTTCAAGGCTTATATCACGGTCACGAAAAAGAGTCAGTGTTCAAAGTCCAGAGCTCAACGTCTCGGCAGAGACGGATCTCGGATCAGTCACTTACAGGAAGGAAGTCGTGGGATGGCTGTCACTCTTGGCAGTGGGCTTGGAGTTCCCAGGCAGACAGCAAGGCGAGGAGTTGGAGAGGTCCCCTGCTGAGAGGCCTGGTCCAGCTCTGTAGCAGGTCTGGCAGCGGGCTGATAAGGGGTCCAGGTGAGGCAGCAGCTCCGCTGGTGTTTTGATCCCGTAGTCACTTCGCAAGGAGGCTAGCGAGCTGGCTCTTCAGCTCCAAATATGTGGAGATCCAGAGGTTCACACACACCAGGCCATGATGCTCGAGAGGATGAAGAGCAGTGGAAAAGGCTCTCCTTTTATCCTTGCCACTCTGAAGGGGGAGTCTCCAGTAGGGGTCGGGGTGTCACCAATCAGTTGTGCTCCCTCTCGGAGTTTCCCAGGGTGCCACCAATCCAATGCCTAGGACAGGATGTCTCCAGCTCATTCTCGGGATGCATCCAATCATCGTGTGAGTAGGAGGGTAACTGGAGGTTATCATCCGTAGTGCTCGCATTATCAGGCTGCCCAGGGATGTCTGTTCAGTCTGATGAGGAACATCTTTCTTGGCAAGCATCAGCTTAGCGTAAGTGAAGTCATCAGTCTCTGGCTTGACATGAGTGACTCCATTTTTCTTTACTTTCAGTTTGTGGATAGTGGTAGTTTTTGACTCTAGGATTCTCTGTGGAGTTTCCACAGTTTGCCTCCTTCTGTTGGTCAAGTAAGCGGTGATCTGTGACTATTTTTGGGACTCCTGTGAGATTCCCCATACTAGGGAAGCCAGGAGCCTGGAATTCCATCTGGGTCTCCCTTGTGAGTGTCAGGGGCCCAAGCACTTGGGCCATCTTCTGCCTCCCTATAACTCTGCCTTTCAAATAAATAAATCTTAAAAAAAAAAAAAAAGAAAGAAATAGAATTTTTTTTTATTTTAAGTAGTCTTTTAAAGCAAAATTTGAAAGTGATTCCTTAATGGCCTCTTTGTTGCCTAGCATTTTTATCATTCCTGGTCAATTTCTTTAAGAGGTTTGTTTGTTTATTTGTTGCAAGGCAGAGCCGGAGAGGTCTTCCATCTGTTGGTTCACTCCCTAAATGGACACATAGTGAGTTCTGGGCAGGGCTGAAGCCAGGAGTCAGGAACTCCATCCTGGTCTCCTGCTTGGCTGGCAGGGGCCCAATATGGGCCATCTTCTGCTTTCCCGGGTGTATCAGCAGGGAGATGAATCAGAGGCAGAGCAGCCAGGACTCACACTGGCACAAGGAGTGAGGCACCCTTTTTCTGCCAAGGATCATACGTATATTTATAACATCATTCACAGGCCATACAAAATTATCAACTTAAAAATTAGCCTTCTGTAGATGTATTGAATTTCAGATCTCACTTGTGGTTGCCTTGCCAAGGCCAAACCAAATGATTTCGTGGGCCTTATATGGCCTATGGGCTGGACATTTCCCACTCCTTTATTAATGTCACAAGCAGCTATTTAATCTGCTGTACCACAGTGCTGGCCTCCATTCCTGATATAATTTATTGTTTTGTACAGATTAGGTTTACTGTCTGATGCCATTTTCCTTCTAACCTAAGAATTTCTTTCAACATTTCTTTTAGTGACTACTGGCAACAAATTCTCTTAACTTTTTTTTTTTTTTTTTTTTTGTCTTTAGAAGTCTTTATTCTGACTTTAGTTTTGAAAGATAATTTTACTGGATATAGAACTCTAAGACTGACAGGCTTTTAAGTGCTTTAATGATATTCTATTGTCTTTTAGCTTACATTATTTGTTTGTTTGTTTGTTTGTTTTTTGACAGGCAGAGTGGACAGTGAGAGAGAGAGACAGAGAGAAAGGTCTTTCTTGGCCGTTGGTTCACCCTCCAATGGCCGCCGCAGCCAGTGCGCTGCAGCCGGCGCACTGCGCTGATCCAATGGCAGGAGCCAGGTGCTTCTCCTGGTCTCCCATGGGGTGCAGGGCCCAAGCACTTGGGCCATCCTCCACTATTTCTGTTGAGAAATCTGTAATATTTTTGACTTTTTTTCCCTCCTCCTTTTTTATGTTTTTTTTTTTTTCTTTTTAAGATTTCCAAGTTATTTATTTGTTTTCAGAAATTTGGGGTAGGTGTTTGGACTACCAGTTAAGACATCATAGTGCAGTGGGTTAAGGCACAGCTGACATCCCATATTGGCTGGCTGGAATTCCACTTCCAATCCAGATTTGCTGAATTTGCTGATGTGCATGGGAAGACAGCGGAAGATGTCCACATACTTGGGCCCCTCCCACCCACATGGGAGGCCAGGATGGAGTTTCTGGTTCCTGGCTTCAACCTGGCCCAGGCTTGGCTCTTGTGGCCATTTGGGGTGCGAGGGAGGAAGAGAGGGAAGAAAGGAAGAATAATCTACCTGTCTCTGCCTTTCAAATAGATATAGATATCTTAACAAACGAGGAAAGAAGAAAGAAGATAAAAGAAAAGAAGAGAAAGAAGGAAAAATCATTGCACATCAGAGTGCTTGGGTTCACTACCTATGTCCACTCTTGAGTCTGCCTTCCCACAGTTACAGACTCTGGGAGGCAAGGGTAATGGCTCAAGAAATTGGGTTCCTGCTGCCCACACGGAAAACCTGGATTGAATTCCCCTTTTCTGGCTTTGGCCTGGCTCACTCCCAGCCACTGTGGGCAGCTCTCTGTCTGTTAAATGAATTTGAAACAAAAAAAAATTTTTTTAAGAACTTTAATCATGATGTTCCTTGGTGTAGTTTTCCCTGCTTTGTTTTTTTGACCCTGCTTAGGGTTTTTCTCCAGCTACTTAGATATATAATTTTCTAGTTTTCATTAAGATTGGAAGTTTTTAAGCCATTGTTTCTTCGAAAAAAAAAAAAAAGGTTTTTTAGACCCACTCATTACCATTCCATCCTAAAATCTGGGACTATATCAGATCACAAAATACTGGCCTAAAGACCATTGAGGTTTTATCTTTTTGTTTTGTTGAGTCTTCTCCTCTGAATCCTTTAGTTTAGATCATGAGTCTTAATGTCGTCAGATGCTTTTTCTGCAGCATCTAAACTGCCATTCCTGTCCAGTGAATTTAGCGTTTTGGGTACATTGTAGCATTACGTCTTTAAATGTTCTACCCAGTTCTTTTCTCTCCTCAGTGCTTGCATCTGTGTGTGTATTTTTGAGCATATATAATAATTCTTTTGAAATCCTTGCCTGTTTCTATTGACTAATTTTTCTCCTGATGTTTTATATTATGTCCTTGCCTCTTTAGTATAGTAGACATCGTAGAATTTTCCATTGCTCTTTGCTGAATTTTCTCTCCTTTTAAATAGCAGTTGAACTTTGTTGTGGCAAGCAATTAAGTTATCCATGAATTAGTTTGAACCTTTATACGTGGGATCAATGACTGTTTTCTTAAGGACCAGATAGTAAATATGTTAGGCTTATGGAGTGGTATGATCTTTATTGCAACTACTTAACTCTGTCATTGTAACTTGAAAGCAGCCATAAACAATATATAAGTGAATGGATCTTACTATATTCTAATAAAACTTTATTTACAAAACAGCTCACTTCTCCATGGGTGATAATTTACTGACCTCTGCTTTAGAAACTTTTTTTAAAGATTTTATAGGCCGGGCGCACGGCTACTTGGCTTATCCTTGCTTGGGGGCAGCCCCTGGGTTCTAGTCCAGTCGGGGCACTTGATTCTTTCCAAGTGCCCTCTTCCAGCCACCCTCTGCTTGGCCAGGGATGCAATTGAAGAATGGCCCAAGTGCTTGGGCCCTTTCCCCATGGGAGCCAAGAGGAAGTACCCTGCTCCCTCCCTTCGGTTAGAGCCGGTGCCCTGGCCGCGGCAGCCATTGGAGGGTGAACCAACGGCAAATGAAGACCTTTCTCTCTGTCTCTCTCTCTCTCACTGTCCACTCTGCCTGTCCAAAAAAAAAAAGATTTTTTATTTTATTTGAAAAGCAGAGTTACAGAGAGGCAGAAAGAGAGGGAGAGCGAGCGAGCGAGAAAGAGGTCTTCAGTACACTAGTTCACCCCCCAAATGACCGCAATGGCCAGAGCTGAGCCAGTCCAAAGCCAGGAACCAGGAGCTTCTTCCAGGTCTCCCACATGGGTGCAAGGGACCAAGCACTTGGGCCATCTTCCACTATTTCCCCAGGCCATAGCCAAGAGCTGGATTGGAAGTGGAGCAGCCGGGACGTGAGCTGGCGCCCATATGGGATGCCAGCACTGCAGGCAGCGGCTTTAACCTCTACACCATGGCACCAGCCACTAGAAGCTTATTTTTAAGCTTTATTAGAACGACTTTAGAGTAGCCTTTATTCTAGGGTTAGTTTATCCTCCTATTAAGACTTGGCCCTCTTTAAGTGTATGCTGGATGTTTGGCAAGGACATTCTACTCTGTGGTTGAAACTCAAATGTGTCGTAATTCTGTGTGAGCTTTGGCAGCTCTTCAGTTTCCAAAGGTTCCATTCTCCTTTCTCCCAGGCTCATAGAGCCTTATCCTGAACATAGGTAACTCAATACTCAGCCAAAGATTCAAGCAGAGCCCTAAGCTAAGTTCTGTAGGTGTTCTGAGCAGCTCTCACCTCTAAAATATCCTGCCCTTCAAATTCCGATTGTTGTCTCCTTAATGCAGCCTGGTAGCTTTGATCTTCATGGGATTCCCCTCTCTGCTCTTAAAGCAAAGTGTTCCTGGACCCCCTATACTCTTCCCAAAAAGCCAGGGTTGATGATAGGGCTCAAGCAATTTGTTTCCCTTCTTTCAGGAATTATAGCCCTGTACTACCTGTTGTCCGGTATTTAAGAAATGCTGTTTGTATTTTGTCTACATTTATAGATGTTTACAGCAAGAGAGCAAATATCTCTCCAGTTTCACTGTCATGACTAGAAGATCCAATAGTGATTTTAAAATAAATACATAGCTAAGTTCCATTTCAGACTGGTTTCTCCAGGAGTGGTAGCTGGGCCCTCATATTTGTATAAACTCCTTGGGATTCTGATGTACAGTCAAGTTTTAAAGTCATGGCTGGGAGTGTTAGACCCCAGCAGAGATGATCTGAGTATATATTTTAAACATGATGTTGCTGATATTTAGAACTTTGATTAGACAGAGGGTAGATAAGATCAGCTAGGAGAGAAAAGAGCTATGTACAAAAAATACTGAAAAGGAGGTAGGAGATTAATTTCTCTTGTCTTGAACCTAAAGCTAGCATCCTCTTCTTTTTCCAAAGACCAGATGACAATGGCAGCCAAACTCATCCATCCTTTCTTTTACCTGCTATTGTGATAGACCTTACTGTCACTTATGTCCTGTACATGGATTGGTAAAAGTGAGGAAAAGGAAATTTTAGAGAATAATCCATCTCTATGGTCTTGGGACCAAATCTCTTGTCCATGCTTTCCCTCCAGTTGTATCTTCCTTAAACTAATGTGGGTTGTATGAAATGGATGTTCTCTTTGATGTCTTGTTTTGGCTTAAAAATGAATGCAAATTGTGCATTTTACTCTCTCATATATCAATATTTGTTTTAATATAAAAATGTAAGGTAGATGTTGTGGCAGCCAAGAATATGCACGTCTGCTTGGGACACCCACATCTCATATTGGAGTGCCTACCTTCGATTCCAATCCAGTTTCCTTGCTAAGGTGCCTCAGAGGCAGCAGATGCTGGCCCAAGTAGTTGGCTCCCTGGATATGGGAGACCTGGATGCAGTGCCTGGCTTCAGATTGGCCCTGCTCTAGCTGCTGTGGAAATTTGGAGAGTGAACCAGCAGATGGGAGAGATTTCACTCTCTCCCTCTGTCTGTCTTCCTCTCCCTCCCTTCCTTCCTCCTTCTGTCACTTTGCCTTTCAAATTAATTAAAAAAAAATTTTTAATTGTTTTACCTAGTAAAATTGACATTCTAAAAAAACAGATATCTTTGTCCTGTGACTTCATTTACCTCTTGATATACCCCTAGATTTATAACTTTCCTGTTTTGTAATGCACAGCTATATGAGCAATTGTGTGGGTTTTTTTTTTATATAATTTTTGGTTTCTTACACATTTTTAGTCTCGTGGTGATTTGAGACATGGAGGTACGGTCACCAGATACTTGATTCATGCATATGTGAATGTTTCTTTGAGGGGAAAATGTGTTTCAAATTCTATGTAACAATCTGGTATCCAGCCTTTTTGTCACCTCTAGAGCATTCACTAGGTTAGTTGTAACCATGAGGAAGAATCCTGTATGCATTTTATCTTTTAATATGCCTTTTATCTTCTGGTATTTTGGGATCCAGTCTGGCCTAGTTAAAACACTGTTGTCAAGGACAGTTACAACTCTCCAATTAAGGACTTGGTTTTGTAGAACTTACCAGTTACCAGTTACCTTTTTCCTTTTATTAGGATAGAAATATCCTTTATTTGCTGTGTTTCTACAACATAATGTTTCATGAATACAGATGTACTAGTGCCTAGTCATCAGGTGTAACATAAAACAGAAGTTTCACTTACACTTGGTCTTTGGTTGAAACACTGGTTTTTTTTCTTTGCCGTTCCGCAGTACCTTCTCCAGGGAAATTTCGCTCCCCTGCAGCACCATCTCCTTTGGCTCTCCGGCAACCAGTGAAAGCCTTTAGTAACCATGGCTCTGGCTCTCCTGGTAGCCAAGAAACAACACAGCTCACACAAACCACCTCTTCACCTGGGCCTCCCATGGTTCAGAACACAGTCCCAGCAAATCCTCCCAGCAATATCAACAGCACTACCCTAACCAGACCTGCAGGGACAACTGCAATGAGAAGTGGCTTGCCCAGACCCAGTGCCCCTTCTGCTGGGGGTATACCAGTGCCTCGCAGCAAACTTGCACAACCTGTTCGCAGGTAAGTGGGGTGCTCTGTTTTGGCATTCTTAAGTGTCTGAAAGTAGGTGGACTGGAAGTAGCCTTGTTTCTTGTTGATAGTGAGCAGAGAGTCATAGTAGCTTCCCACTTGAGTCTCAGCACAGTTTGAATAAAACCTCACTTCACTGTATTAAAGATACCCTTATTGGGATATTATACCAATATGGTTCAGATTACATTTGTCCCAGTGCCTTACTGATGAAGCATCTCAGAGAATTCCTAGAAAAGGCTGTTAGAATCATTCAGTTTGGTTGTGATATTTGAATATGATATTCAGTAAAGATAATGAAAACATATTTGAATCTAGAGTGATATTTAAGATAAAACTCCTTTCTTCCAACTCTGAGTGCAATCTATAAGGGTGATTTTCAAACCTGCTATAACAGAATTATCTGTGGAATTTGTGTAGAAGTAGAAGCCTGAGTTTTACCTTCAGAGTCTGTAGCTCTGGTGTGAAACCCAAAATCTGTGGCTGTGCTATCTCTTGTTTGTTTATTTTTCAGGTGATTCTGAGCTCAACCAAGACAGGAATCATGCCTCTGTAATCTTTTTTTTTTTTTTTTTTTAAGAGAGGCAGAGGCAAAAAGATCTTCCACCTACTGGTTCACTCCCCAAATGGCCACAATGGCCAGAGCTGAGCCAGTCAATCCAAAGCCAGGAGCCAGGAGCTCTTCCAGGACTCCCACGTGGATACGTGGGTGCAGGGGCCCAAGGCCATCTTCTACTGCTTTCCCAAGCCGTAGCAGAGAGCTGGATTGGAAATAGAGCAGCCGGCACTCATATGATGGCAGCTTTACCTGCTACACCTCAGCATTGGCTCCTGCATCTAGTCTTAATCTACCTTTCAAGAACAGGATTACCACCATCAGTAAATTTAGGTGTCAAGTATAGTTAAGCTTGAAATACTTATTTGCTTGGAAACAGTATTTGTCCCCTAAGCATTTAAACTGAATTACCCATACTACTTAATTCTAAAATAAACATTTTACATCTACAGACTTATTAGCAGTGTACAATAGCTATTTGCTCTGTACTCTGCTAAATAACTTATACTTAACCTTGTTTAAGGCTCACAATAGCATTAAATTAGTAAGTACTTTCGTTATTCCTATCTCTCAGAGGAGAATATTGAAATTTAACGAGACTAAATAATTTGACTAGGACTATACATAGGACCTTCAATTCCAAGTCCTTTTAACCACTGTCCCATACTACCTCTCCAGTGATTATGACACTAAGCTTCTAATATCACATCCATCACTCTGCTCAGAATGTAAAAAGTTGGTTATCCATGTGGTTGAAAAAGATGAGACATTCTTTTCCCTTCTTTAATCTAGTAGCTTTGTTAACAAAAGGTTAGAGAAGTCCTGTAATGCCCAGTAAAACCTGAGAGATGTGATAATACTGAGTGTGGGAAGGTTGTGCAAATGGCCCTTTTGAGCTTTGATCTTATTGTTGTCCTGGAACAGCCTTCCTAAGATCACGGTGCCAACTGGAAAGTAATTAATGTATATAAGAGACTATATGGTGATATTTTGTAAGACAAGCAAATCACATTATAAAATTGCTTTATTTCAGATCCTTGCCAGCTCCTAAAACCTACGGAAGCCTGAAAGATGACAGCTGGAAAGACGGCTGTTACTGAGCAGCAAAGACAGGAACGCAGAGGCCCACGGCTTCACGGATACCCTTCCTCCAGGCTGAAAACCACTTTGATATGCAGACTGTTCAGCTAGGACTCGTGGGATTTATGAAATCCCAGCCCTCTGTCTTGACTAGCACAAACTGACAGAGATGATCAAGCAGCACTTTAATGACATTTAACATCAAACGTGTTTGGTAATCATACAATCACTCTCCATGAAATCACTTTTAGTTTTATTTAATAGAAACTAAACTGATTTTTTAAATAATTGACAGAGGCCAATAACTGGGCAAATACCTAATGGATGCCAAAGAGAAATGCCCATTTTCAATTGAGAAAGTACCTTTGTGCACAAGAAAATGGTGGATTCAAGCTATCCAAAACTTCACGTTCAACCTAATTTACTGTATAAATAGCATCAATAAACATTTGTGTTAATGAGAACTAATATTCTGACTAATTATCTGAAGTGTTTCACAGTACTCCAGAAAAATTATCCATCAAGATTGGGGGACAAGAGGAAGGAACCCGGGCTAGAGATTTTAAAAATATGATACATAAATTTGGGAGAGTTCAGCAGATTATTTTTGCAGATTTGTTAAACAAATGGTCATTTCATTTAATCTTAAGTTTTGGACATGGCTCACCTATCACCACCACCAGATAGTGTTAGAGTGTGCATCCATCATGTTGCATTGACACATCGGATTTATATGTGTTTGTTGATTGCCAAAAGGGCTTAATATCAGTTGTACAATCTTTCTAAACTTTCTAGTTCCTGGCTCAGGAAAGATGGCCTTTGCTGTTGAAGCCAGCTTCTTCACATGCTGTTATCTGTTAGAGAACAAAGAGATCTTGTGTTTATTAGCAGGTTTCCATGATGGAAAGAGCAAGTAGTATGTGTCTTTATTATTGATACAACAACACCTCAGTGCTTACAACCTGGAACAAAACCTTACAATGAGAGGGGGGAGGTAAAAATCTATGCACTTAACTTACAAAATCTCTGGTGATGACAGTTGTATTGTTGCTATTAAATGGCATAACGGTTTATTATGTGGTAGGAAAACATAGCCTGCTAAGTCCTACTTACTTTGGTCCACTTTAAGCTGAGTAACTGTATAAAATATCTTTTGAAAATACTGTCCCTATTGACTTAGATTCTGCCTTACATCAATTTTTGCATTTTTACTACATATAACTCCAATCTGTTTAAATACTTGCTCTCTTATGGCTCTTATATGTATCCTTGAAATTACCTGTTTTGGTTTATCAGACTGTTACCAGATGAAAACTTTTTTTGTAGCAGGCTTCTTATTTTTGATAGTGAGGTCTGTTTTTAAATTCTTAATTTGAACAAGCTCTAAAATATTGGCAGTTGGTTCACATAAAAGATTTTAGAGATTTGAACGTAAGTTCATTTCCTGTTAATCAAAGACATTCTGTAAGTTGGCAAAAGAAAATTGAGAAAGAAATAGAAGGCTTAACGTTCAGGTTGAGAGGATGATAAAACTTAAAACCAAGACCCCCATTCTGCTGTGACTGAAACCATGGTAGTTTTTATCAGCTTGAACAGTAGGAAGTCATTCAGTCATCACAAGCAGCTGGAGATGTAAATTGGCAGTCCTATGTATTTTGGTGTATAATGCAAGGAAGAAAGTGTAGCCTTGAATTTGAGAGCAATGGGGTGGGTCAGCGATGGATGGCGCCAGAATTCTACGTGGTAAGGAACTAAAAATTGTTGCTTTTCAGAGGAAGTAAAGCTTCTGCTCTGGGTGGGGTATCTCATGTAAATCTAAGTAATAAAAAGGAAGAGCTAGCTACTGTCTCTTTTTAAAACCACATATACACAAAACAAAACAGGTCTCAGTTTTCAGTGCAACATTTTAAAAATATATATGCTGCAATCTAATAATTTAAAGGAAGTTTATTCTGAAACACTCATTATGTTTTTTCATTTAGATAATCAATTTCAGAGGGAATATTCAGGTTATTTAACTTTGTTTTTAAATGGCTGCATCAGAAAAAGAAAAAAAAGTCTATTTTTTTTTAATTAAGATATTTCATCACTTGTTAAAAACACATTTTGGATCTGGGTTTGGTAAAGTATGATTTTACCTGCTGTTTCACTACCACAGACTATTGGCTTTTAATTTCCTAAAGAGAAAAATGGCCTTTTTACTAGGAAGCCTTTGTGTGTTGCCAGTTTTTCTGTTTGGGAAAATCTAAGGATTTACTGTGGTTAGTCTTACAGAAGAAATGTGGATTTGATAAACTAGTGCCTATGATTTTAACTTATGTTGATATATAGTAGTAATGGTTTTATGAATGTTGATTATTTTGTGCCAACAGCCCAGAATTGTCACTTATATGTAAGCAGAAAGCTGTGAACTCTGCTTCCAAAGTTATTTAATTTTCTCAGTGTTTGAATGTTATTTTTTGTAAGTGTGTTAATAAAAGTGTAAAGAATTGGAAAAAATATAAATATTCTTAACTCAAGCATTTGCTGGATCATTTTTCTACAAAACTTGTTTGTATAATATAAGACACTCTGAAGAGTTGACTTTTTTCAGTTTTCATACCCTGGAAATCACATTTTGTAAGCTGGGGACCATTCATAATTGTGTCAGATGCTTTTTAAAATTATCTCAATACATCACTTTTATAAAAAAAAGTTTTTTTGAAAGAGAATTAGATACATATGTGGCCCCAGATGTTTGTATAACTCTAGAATGATCTAGACTATGTATGTTTAAATTAACTTTCTATTGAATGTACAGGTGTCCATCTTTGACATTGCGCATGGTCCTTTTAGATCACATGAAGTTGATTCGCAAACATTTCGATAGCAGAACTTGTATATGTGGTTGCCTCCTTAATAAACAGCCTGACCATAATGTTTATCATTAAATTTACATTTGTTTTTCAAGTGTTTTATTAACTTCCTTTTTTCCCCCAAATGCCTATAATTGCTTTTAATAACTTTCTCAGTTGGTTGTTTAAACATACAAACCCAAATCCTGTGGCCCTTTCAGACTAGTCTTTATGTGGGTGGACTATATCATACTATGTTCTCTCTGTCCTTGTTTCATATCTGCATAATTTAAGGTAAATTCGTAGTTTACTCTAAATCGGTTTGTTCTGGGAACTTTTTTACCTCATGTGAATTACTAGTTAGAAAAAGCTGGCATATATAAATGAAGCAAAAAGCCATCATGTAAGAGTTTCCAAGAGGGAAGAATGAATGCATTTTCAAACCATATATGAACGTTTAGGTGATCACATTCATCTGTTGAGGATGGGAGAATCAAGAACTGCGCACTGTTGCATGAGCTCCCTGCATTCCCTTAGGGAGTACTGGGTGCGCCCCACTGCAGGGAGTCTCACTGATGAGACAGGTGCCCGTGTCGGATTGTGTGTGCATTTTTATCCCAACCTAGCCAAAAAATGTTGAGAACCATTTGAAATTAAATATCATTATGCTTATAAATCAGTGAATGAGAAGTTTAAGCTTGTTATATATCCAGGACGACAGGAAAGCCACGTGGAAGTTCCTGTGAAGTATTTGCTATATCAAAGTTTACTTTGAGTTTACAAAAGCAGAGTCAATATTAGAGACACTAACTTCAGGGAGAAAGTGAACAGGGTGTTCACAAGAGTGTGAAGCCAACAATGGCAACCCTAATTCATTTGAACCACCCCAAATATAACTGGGCTAACTGGCCCTCAGGTTACCAGTCTCAGAACAGATTTCTCTCGTGGGCTGTATTCACCACAATTCAGTTAAACCTCTGCTAACTGCTTGTGCCAGTTTCACATGAGTCCTTCATCTGCATTGAGTCATTTTAATGTTTTCTCTTGAAATATAGGAAGGATCTCATAGTGTCCCATACCACAGCAAAATGTGGCCCATCTAGGCCTCTGTGCCCGGAGGCTGCTGCCCTTGATGGAGGAGGCTGGGCATCAGGTACAGAGTTAGGGAGGAGCAGGGAGCGCTGGGGTGGGTACGGAGTTAAGTGTGGTTAGGGAGGAGCAATGGGTGCTGAGGTTCTGTTGCACGGAGGGTGACTACAGTTAGGTATCCTATTTCAAGAGGATTTTAAATGTCCTTACCTCAAAGAAATGCTAAATATTTGAGGTGATGGGTATGCTAATTACTGTGATTCAGTCATTATACAATGCATGAATGCGGTGAAACATCAAACATTATATCTCACAAATATGTACAGTTATCACCTGTCAATTAAAAACAAAATCTGATTGCACAGAAAGCAAGGGGAAAATCTGTATTTCTCCTGGTTTGATAGTAATAGACATTACTTTAAAAAGTGAACTGAAGATATTAACAAATACAGAGGTGAAAAGTGATGATGGGTTGCAGCGCCTCTATCTGGAAATCAACATCGCAGAAGCATGCTACCATGCTTATCAAATACTAAATGGAGGGCTGGAACGTCATCGCCTTAAGATGCGAGGAGGTTTTTCACTTTCAGTGCTGACGGGTTTCCTTTTGCAGAGGTCTGTACAATAACTGCTAGTGGGAGGTTGGCACAAACCTTAATTCCTGATTGCAGATACTCAATGAAAACGGCATATAGTTTGTACAATTGTAAAAAAAAAAAAAAAAAAAAACCTACATGTTTAGTATAGAAATTAGGGAAATACAGTAAATTACAAAAGAGATTTGAGGATAATTATTGGTTTCTTGAAGATTTCTTTTATTTCAAAGAATTACAATAAGAGGTGGAGAAAGAAAAGCCTTCCATCCACTGGTTCACTCTCCAGTGGCTGCAACTGCTGGAGCTGAGCCCTAATCCAAAGCCAGGAGCCAGGAGATTCTTCCGAGTCTCCCACATGGGTGCAGGGGCCCTAGGCCTTGGGCCATCTTCTACTGCTTTCCCAAGCCACAGCAGAGAGCTGGATCGAAAGTGGAACAGCCAAGACTCAAACGTGCTCATATGGGATGCTGGTGCTGCAGGCCTGAGCTTTAGCCCGCTGCGTCACAGTGCTGACCCCAAATGATCTATTTACTTAGGAAATCGAATCACATTTATGCCTGACAGGGTAACTTTTTCTTAATTCTGAAGTCCCTGCTAGAGTAAAAAAAGCTTAGTTCCCGAAACTGTATACAAATATTAATTCCAAAACTTCACCAGACCTATATTATCATATAGAATTCATTTTTAAAAAAGATTTATTCCTTTGAAAGAATTTTCCATCTGCTGGTTCACTCCCCAACTGGCCACAATGGCCAGGGCTGAACTGGGTTGAAACCAGAAGCCAGGAGCTTCTTCCAAGTCTCCCACATGGGTGCAGGGGCCCAAACACTTTGGCGTTCTGCTGCTTTCTCAGGCCATAAACAGGGAGCTGGATTGCAATTAGAGCAGCCCAGACATGAACCAGCACCCATATGGGATACCGGTGCTGCAGGTGGTAGCTTTACCAGCTGAAGCTACAGCACCTACCCCTAGAAGTCTTTAGTGATGCACTGCCCCCACCACACACACGTACACATACAATCACAGCCTGACACTGTTGGTGGAATATAAGGCTGATTTTTTTTTAAAGATTTTATTTATTTATTTGACAGGTAGAGTTATAGACAAGTGAGAGAGAGACAGAGAGAAAGGTCTTTCCGTTGGTTCACCCCCAAAATGGCTGCTATGGCCGGCACGCTGTGCCAATCAGGTGCCAGGTGCTTCCTCCTGGTCTCCCATGCGGGTTCCGGGCCCAAGCATTTGGGCCATCCTCCACTGCACTCCCGGGCCACAGCAGAGAGCTGGGCTGGAAGAGGAGCAACTGGGACTAGAACCGACACCCATATGGGATGCTAGTGCCGCAGGTGGAGGATTAACCTAGTGCGCCATTGCACCAGACCCAATAAGGCTGATTTTGAGACGCTACCTTTAAAGAAGTAACAGCACATGAAATAAACAAGTGAGATGGTCTGCATTAGAGATTTTTAACGTTGGAATCACCTGAAGGACCATTCAAACACTGATTTCTGTGCCTGCTCCCAAGAGTATCTGTTCAAAAATTGAACTCTCATCCCAAGTCCAAGATTTCTAGGGACAAGGTTCCCCAGTATTGGTGAGATACCTATTACTGGATTAACTGGAGACTGGGGTTCAGTCAGAACAGCAGAGCCACCATGAAAGCTGTCTAGAGGATTGGGGAGAGACTATTTTCCCTAAGAGTGGTGCTGTCCCTTGTGAGGGGCCCAAGTCCTGGGCAAAGAAGATACATGCAGGATCTCACCACTTCCCTGCTTCAACCCTCACTCCCACAGAACCACAAGTGATCCCTGTAAAATGTCATTCTGGGTTGTCAATCATCTCCAATTGTCCAGGGCCCCCTTTTCTTCAGTGAGAAGGGCAAGGCATGTGCTGCTTGGGTCCCTTTGTGCTCTGGCACTGTCACCTCCCTGCCTGACTGAGCTGCTCCACTTCACCACGCCCTGTCCCCCGGCTGGACCTCGAGCCTCCGGGTGCTCCCCACCAGAGGGCAAAGAAGGCACTGCCTGTCTCTCCTAGGAGATGCTGCAGCCCACACAGCCAATGCATAGATCCCGCACCTGCTCCAGGGTCTGGAGACACCACCCCAGGGAAAACTGTGACTCAACCCCACTCAGTTCTTAATTTTAAAAAAAAGTTCTTTTTTCATAGCACTTACTGCTTTCTGGCATTCCACAGAATTCATGACTGTGCCTGTTTTCCCTTCTTCCTCTCTTCATGCTCACTGACACTTGTGCACACACAACACAAGCTTCACAGGAGCCGAGATGATCACTTTATCAGTGTAACACAAGTGCCTAGAACAGTGCCTGTCCCATGCTAGGCACTCAACTTTTGGTTTTGTTGTTTTTCTTTTGGAGGGGGAACAGGGAAGTGAATTTTAATTTTTTTTTAATGTACATGCATTTGAGAGGAACAGAGAGATCTTCCATCTGCTGGGCCAGTGCCCACATGCCACAGCAGCTGAATCTGGGCCAGGCTGAAGGCAGGCGCCTGGGACTTACTCCAGGATGCGTGGTAGGGGCACCGTCACCTGCAGCCTCCCATAGTGCAGGAAGCTGGAATCAGGACCAGGGCTGGGACTCAAACCCAGGCGCTTTGCTGTGGGATGTGGGTGACCCAAGCAATGTCTTAACTGCTGTACCAAACACCCATCTCTCAAATATCTATTGAATGAAAGTAGGTACTGGTAGGAATCTCTTTAAAGAGCAATTTATAGGGGCCAGTGCAGTGGCATAGTAGGCTAAGCCTCCACCTGTGGCGCCAGCATCCCAAATGGACACTGGTTTGTGTCCTGGATGCTCCTCTTTGATCCAGCTCTCTGCTTATGGCCTGGGAAAGCAGTAGAAGATGGCCCAAGTGCTTGGTCCCCTGCACCAGTGAGGGAGACCGGAAGAAGCTCCTAGCTGCTGGCTTCGGATTGGCCTGGCCATTTGGGGATTGAATCAGCAAATGGAATACCTTCTTTCCCCTCTCTCTCTGACTCTACCTCTCAAATTAAAAAGTAAACTTTTTTTATAAAAAAGAGCAACTTATAATCCTTAACAAAATTAAAATTACTCGGACCAGATATTCCCCTGTAAGAATTTCTCTTACAGATACACCTGCACATTTACTGTGTAGATAAGAATACAAGGATATATAATATAGTGTTATTTGTAGCCAAGGCTCAGCTTAAGTGTCCAGCAATAGAACATTGATTAAATGATGATACATTATTCACTGAAATATTATGCAGCCATTAGGAAGATCAAGATGCAATAGCTCTATGTAATGATGACAAAGGACACTCAAGATACATTGTTAAAAGCAAAACCAAGGGGCAGGTATTTGGAGCAATGGTTAAGACACCACTGTCTATCTCTTTCAAATATTCAAAAAAAAATTTTTTTTAAAAAGAAGGCTGATGCTGTGG